TTTTACACAATTTAGGTTGTCAACTACATGCCTGTTTATTTTATATCTTGATTATTCCACCCTATTCCACTCTATTTTGCATTTTAAAGTGACCACCAGACCATTTTTCTCAAAGTGCGGAGCTTATTGAAAACCATGTTCATGACCTTTCAAAAAAAAGATCATGTATAATAATTTCTGTTCTTCATAAAAAAGTGGTGTCATATATGACCATTAATTGAATTGTAGGATAATCTCGGCTCTGTATTCCAATTGCGAATCATTCCTTGGCAATTTTACCTTACATGCACAGTATATATTACAAAGAAAATATAAATAAGCAGATGTCCAATGAGGGCATACCAGATTAATAATTTCCCATATAAATCATATTCCTGTATTGACAGGTAACATGTTGGTCATCATTTAAAAACACAGACTATAAAGTACTCCATTTTATTAAGAATCTAAAATGTGATTTCATGTCTGTATTGTTCTGCTGGTGACATATTGTTATAGTGTTCTACTTTGTGGATGGTGTTTGGCATTCGGTGTTTGGTGCTCGGCATCTGTAACAAATGGCATGTGGTAACATTTTAGTTTATCATTTTTCTTCAAATGTAACCCTGGCCTACATGCTCTGAATACATGTATACTCAAAAAGATGTCAAAATAGAAATATTTGAAATACTCAGATTAGGAATGTCGTTTTCCATATAAAATAATAATATGACCTCGTTTTTACTACAAAACATGACCCTTTAAATATTTACATGATTTTAGGACTATTGTCATAGCAAAATTTAATATGTGGGACCATTGCCACTAGATGTTTGAAAGGTTCCTTGCTAGTGTAAAAGGTCTTGTTCCTTGTACACATACATGTGGTTTATTTTAGCACTATTTACAATATCCCCTGTTGTTTAGAGAATTTTAAGTGTTGACATACACGCACTTTCAATGATGAGTTGAAATTGGTCAATAAAAAAAAAGCTGGCTACAGGCCTGCTATATTCTGATTTTTCACTCCGAAGCAGGAGATATTTCCAGCCAATGAGGCAATTAGTCAATCATACTCAAGACTTACTTTTCATATGTCATCATAAATTAACCTATCTAATTAATGTTTTGATTTTGTTTATTATTTAAAGGAGGGAAATTCATGAAATGCAACCAACTTAAACCTGAGTCTTTTAAACCACAAATATGAATCATTTAAAACATTCTTGTCTCAGTTGAATGCCTTTTTGCTTGTTTTGCGTGAAAAATATCAAGTTTATTTTGCATATGTTTGAATCATTCAGGTATGATGATAACAGATTTGTTTTTCAATGTAAGTTTTATTTCCGATTTATTATCTCATAGTTCAGAATGGAATGGACACACCTATGGTTTTTAATAAGATGAATCAGTTATAGTGAGTTGGTTTAAATTGGACCATTTCTATCATAGAGATTTAGAGTAGAATATGTAAGCCAAGGACCAAAGAAGGTGAAGGTGAGACTCTTACTTTTTGAAAAGTATATAGAATACAAAATTGTCTTGATAGAAAGCATGTTTTATTTAAACAATTGGAATAAGTGTTTACTCGAGATAAGTGTTTAGTTGGGATAAGTGTTCACTAGGGGTAAGTATTCTATAGGGATAGATGTTCACTTGGGATAAATGTTCACTTGGGATAAGTGTTCACTTGGGATAAGTGTTCACTTGGGATAAGTGTTCTCTTGGGATAAGTGTTCACTAGGGATAAGTGTTCTCTTGGGATAAGTGTTCCATAGAGATAAGCGTTCTCTAGGGATACGTGTTCTATAGGGATGGGATAAGTGTCCACTAGGGATAAGTGTTCACTTGGGATAAGTGTCCACTAGGGATAAGTGTTCTCTTGGGATAAGTGTTCCATAGAGATAAGCGTTCTCTAGGGATACGTGTTCTATAGGGATGGGATAAGTGTCCACTAGGGATAAGTGTTCACTTGGGATAAGTGTCCACTAGGGATAAGTGTTCTCTTGGGATAAGTGTTCCATAGAGATAAGCGTTCTCTAGGGATACGTGTTCTATAGGGATGGGATAAGTGTCCACTAGGGATAAGTGTTCACTTGGGATAAGTGCTCACTAGGGATAAGTGTTTATTAGAAACAGCTTTTTCTGCTTTTTCATCACAAATTGAATAAAGAGGGCAAATATCTTATATATATTTTCTAACTTTATTTTTTACCTTACATTGGATACAAAGGACATGTACAGTACAGTGCAGTTGCAAAGGACTTCATTTATGCTTAAATTCAAATAAAATATTATACCCTGCCTTACTGCAGGGATGCAGTTGCCAACAGATGGAATGTTTACTACTGGCTAGACATTGATATCCTGCTTTGAATCTAAAAAATTGGGACAAATTAGTCTGCAAACAAGGTAAATATTCATTACATAAAAAGGTCATGATGGTCACAAAGTCCAAAACTGAGTAGAAGAGAGGAATCAGCAAGGAATGTTTAGGAAGCATGCATGTGTTGAGTTGAAACTCAAAGTATAGAAATTCTAGAAAATTTTAGAGAGAATTAAAGTATGATATATTGGATGAACTGACATTTTGGTAGAGGTTATTGTGTCACTGTAGTTTATGTTTTGATTTTTATCCAAAATTTAGTTTGATGATCCCATCAAAATAAAAATATGAGATCAGGTACAAAAAACATATTGCACTTTGCGTTTTATTCATATGTGAAGGTCAACCACAGAATTGATGTACTTTAATTTACCGGTGTTTATTAAGTTCCTCGTTCGAGTCCTTCAATTTCTATAGTTCTCTCCAGAATTTGACTGAACTGCTTGATTTTCTTGCATTTCCATACAATTTAGAGTGTTGACTACATGCATGCCTCTTTCGTTCCTTGCTAATTCCACTCTTTTTCACTCTATTTTCCATTTTAAAACATGGCCACTGAGAGAATCATGTCTTGGTAATGTATCTATTTTGCGCTCTTCACAAACCAAAAAACAAGATAACGAATGTCTTAGGTGTCATTATATGATAGTTCATCGCCTCTGCTAATTATGATTTAAGATAAAGGTTGTACCATTGAAATCTTAGGACTTTCTCTAATTTTATTAATTTTTGGGGAACGAACTGGACCAAAAACCATCTCTGTTGCAGAAAATAAGAACACAAAGAGTTATTATCGTACATGTACTTGTAAATTAGTGTTAAATCATCTAACAAGAAAAATTACCTATTGCATGAAACTGTCAAGTGAAATAAGGATACAATGAAGTCTCACAAAACAAAACACGTGCTATGTAAATAATTGTGTTGAATAATATGGAAATAAATAACAATAACCTAAAAAAAGTGCTATTTTAATGTAACCCAAACCCAAAGTGTCTTCCTTTCACTATAAATGGAAATTATACAGGCTCTTAGATAATTCAAGCCCTTAAATTACCCAGCCCCTAAAATGATTCAATCCCAGAAATTGACATGAAGACCAGGCTCTGCAATTGTTCGGCTTCTGAAAAACGTACATGTACATGTATATGTCCAAGAAATGTAATGTTTGGCCCTCAAAAGGTCACATCGGAATTGTGACAAAATAAATGTATGTACCAAAATTCCTTTGTTATTAAACAATGATTTATTCAGGGATTTATCACATTTAATTATACAACTTGTTTTTACTTCAGTCTATTTCAATTTATTTGATGTGTAAAATATTTAAACAAACAACAGGTTAATCACAACAACAGTTGCTAAAAATTGCTAAGTTTAAAATTGTAAAATTGGCACTGAATAATGCTCTCTGCATGACGTTAACATGCAGTTCTGCTGTGAGCAATAACCAGAAGTATTTTTAAACATATGTATTTTATTTAGAGAAAATCATTTTAATGTAATCTTGATTTATTCGCATAATGTAACACATTTATTTGCACAACATGGGGCAATAATAGCCAAGTGTTTATATTGTTTACCTTTTAGATTTATAAGAAGTACAAGCTGTCAAGATTGAAAACATTTTTTATAAAATAAGTAGGTACATTTTGTTTGTTGAAAGCATACATTTTACAAAAGTTTGTGAAATATGCCTTATTGCAGATTTTATGCCTTTTCACAAATATTTCATTGGTGTCGTATTTTGAAATGAAAATAATATAGAAAAAAGTTCAATTGGAAAGGAATATTGTAAACAGTCAAGGAGTCAAGGCTGTGATATCTCACGATGAAGAAATTCAGGTAATTCATTTTTTAAATGAAACAGTGATACCCAATATGATAATCTTCTCAACGACTGGTTGTATTTGTGAAAAAGATTTCAGAAAGGAAGTTGAAGTAAAAAATAATATGGTATTGAACTTCTCTTTAAATGCATTTTATGTGTTGAACCATAAATCTATAGACTTAAAGCATTTTTTGTCATGTCCTTCACAAAGCAACATTCGATATATGACATATTAATGGTTTTACTGTCACGCATATGGAGACATATTTTCACGTATCATTTTAGAGGATACTGTCAGCTCTTATCTTAGTGTTGCTATGTGATGCCAAGTTAAAATGTATCCCATTGTCTACTGATGGAGAGACCTTCAGTATGATACCTCTCCCTCCCTTGTTATTTACCTGCTTAAATGGGTAAGGCCCCTGGCCCCATCCCCTCCGTTTTATTCTTTTCCTCCCATTTTATTTGCAATCACGTCGCATCTACTTATCACTCAGATTCTGCATTCCTTATCATCATTAATCTCAGGAAGTTCATTTCAAGCATCATGAGGTTCATGAATTTTATTAATTCATTGGTACTTTGCTCTACTGATTTTATGAATGCTTTATTAGTGCTACTTACATTATTTTTTAAAAGTAGAATGTTTTCATAAATCTTCAAAACCTTTTCAAACTCAAATTCAGTGCTGCTATGCTGAATATAATTAAAGAACAAGTATGTTATATATAAGGATTATTTTTTATTTTTCTTTCAAGAATGTATAATTAACTAATAATACACAAAAAATGATTTGTGATTTACTTGATATTTTATTGTATATACGTGTTGTACATTGCTTGAAAATATAGAGTTATTTAGTCTTTGGCGCAGAATGCATCTGCCTTTAACTTCGTTAAGGTGGTAATACCTCTGTTGTTCCAGCATGATTTTCTCGGCATTTGCATAGGAATTTGAACAGTACCATCCGATACCCAGCCATATTTACAGACTTGTAGTCCAAGGTCATACGCAGCTTGTAGTTGGTCAGGTGTGGCCAGACGATGTCCTTTACTCTCGCATAGTGCCTTCGCTTCGGTGAAGCTTAACATGTATTTACCAGCATCACTTTGTATATGGTACACATTGCTACGATCTAAAAGTGAAATTGATATTTTTTCTATTTGTTAAAAGGTGCTATAGGGAGGGAGGGGGGTCTTTTTAGATGAAGTCCAAGGATATCAAACTTCTGAAAACAAAAGTTAAAAGGTTCATACAGTATATGAATTGATACCAAACTTTTCTCAAATACAGGGTGACTCAAAAACTGAACCCAAGAAATCATTAATTTCATCAAAATATCTAAGTCTTTGTTGACACTTTCTTACGATGGCATGATATCAACAAACAAACAAACAAACAAACAAACAAACAAACTCACTAACACCTAAGACCTTAACAATGTAACAAATATATACTTACATTTTTTTCTCTCACAAGCACAATCCATCAATACCCTATTATCTGCATCAATTTCTCTTCTTATTGTTTTCATAAATTTTCTATTATTTTGTGTCAGTTTGATTATTTCATTCAGGCCTGTTTCCAATTGTGTTTTCAATTCATTTAACTTTGCACCATTCTGAGAAATGGCGTAGCTCAGATCCTCCATTGATGTGACGTCATCACCTCCCTTAATAGAAGTGAAAATCCCAAATATGAAAACTATCATGAGTTCTTTAAATGCCATCTTCCTTGTACTGGTGATATTATTTCAATGAATTGAAAAAATGATTTTAAATTCATATACAGTTGTTCAGGGATTGATTTTGATTGAAAATGATTGATTTTTTATTTATATATAATCAAATGAGACTAGATGGATGGATAAATATTAAATACAGTTAAGATTAAAGCTGGACTACGCTCCAAAACGCAATATGTTGACATATATTGTTTTTACATTTTCAAGCTCTTATATAAAGTTTATGTAAATAAAAATTGTTTTTTTCTGCGTAATATCAAAGAACAATCATTTAGTTAAAAAAATAAAAAGGCTAGTGCGGGATTCGAACCCGGGCCTCCCGCGTGCTCAGCGAGGATTCTACCCGCTACACCAACGTATTATTATGAAAGGAGGAAGTAATTAAACGCTACTTATTTTGAATGCTATGATTCGGAAGTGACGTCACGTTCTTCATTTAGAAACCTTGCCAAAATCATATCGCCGGCACCGATCGAAGCAAATTCAATGAAAAATCTTTGAAATGACACATTTATCGTAAGTATTTCTACACAAGATTTGCCCCATTTGTTCATCATTCTATAATCTTTCATTAAGCTCAAAATGATAAAGTTCACCCCCGAAACAACCCAAGATTGCATTTCGGAGCGTAGTCCAGCTTTAATTGTTTTATTGTTTAATTTTGAAACTGTAATAAACATTGTCATTTGTCATTTTGAGTTATCATAAATGATTGAGAGAATTCTGTTTATATAAGTGTTTAACTCATTCAATACTGAGGCAAAAACGACTGTAATACTGACAAATATTTGAAAATTGCCATATATGGTACCTCTGAAATAATATAGTATATACATGGGCATACATAACTATATAGTGTTATACGTGTATATCATTTTAAAGCATATGATATTCTCTTTCAGAATAGGTTTTTAAGTCCCATTTTATAAGTTGTCATGGTTACAAGATTCCAAAAAGTATATAGGGGACAGGTTTCATTGTACCTTCAATAGAGGGGACATGTTTTATTGTTAGTACCTCAACTGAAATACTCGATTCTGATTGGTTGATTGGTGGTCAATAATATGTACTGTTGACCACTACTAGGTACTGTTAACCGCTACTTTTGAAAAATAAGTTTCATGACGTCATAATGTTTACAGAAAAAACATGGTAGACGGACATTTTGTAAATGTTGATGAAAGTGATATTTTGACTTTTCTAGACGACAAGTACAGCAAAAATACAAATAGAAATGTAAAATAACAAACAATTTACTAATGAGTACGCATTGCTGGTGTGGTTTGGAGAAAAGATTGTGAAATGAAGCCATGCCAATTGATGATTGTCGTCTATATGTGTATTATTAGTTTCTTCGGACTAACAAAACAATTGTAGACCTCTCCATTCGGTCAATCGTCAAAAGCATATACCTCGACTGTAAACCTTTAAACTACTGTTGACCTCAACCTTAGGTCTCTGTCAACAACAGTAGTTTCTCTGTTTACGGTCTCGGTAAACAATTTCGCCGGTTGACCTCAGGAGAGGTCAACAATTGTATATTGTACCTTCAATAGTTATGTGATACAGTATACAATTGTTGACCTCTTCAGAGGTCAACCGGCAAAATTGTATACCGAGACTGTAAACCGAGAAACTACTGTTGACATAGACCGAAGGTCGAGGTCAACAGTAGTTTCAAGGTTTACAGTCGAGGTATATGATTTTGACGGTTGACCGAATGGAGAGGTCTACAATTGTTTTGTTAGTCAGAAGAAACTAATAATACACATATAGACGACAGTCATCAATCATGGCTTCATTTCACAATCTTTTCTCCGAACCACGCCAGCAATAATTTTGTAAGAAAATCTGAAGACAGCGGTAGCTCTAAAACTCTCTGTTTTCGGCACATCACTGCGTACTCACTAGTAAATTAATGTTAATTTTACGTTTCTATTTGTATTTTTGCAATACTTGTCGCCTAGCAAAGTCAAAATATCACTTTCACCAACGTTTACAAAATGTCCGTCTCCCATGTTTTTTTCTGTAAATATTATGACGTCATATTTCCCATAATTCACAAGTGTAGTACAGTAACATACGCGGTCAATAATATGATATCCCATGATGCACAGGTGGGGTACAGGCAAAAATGTTGACCGCTAATTGACCAATCAGATGCGAGTATTTATACTGAGGTACTAACAATAAAAATTGAGGAATACCTGTGATCTCTAAGAGAAACAATGCAGTGTCTCATGACCAATTGACTTAAATGTTACAGAACCTCTACAGTGCTCACCATAAATAAATGACACCTAGATTTGCTGAAGTGAGGATTTCCCGTGTTAAAAATAAGAGAATTTTCAAGAGGCTATACATCAGTGGATAAGAGTATACAAAATGTAAAATATACAAAACTTAAGGGATGTGTATCTAGACATTATTGGAAAGTATGAAGTCTCAAATCACCATGGTCTAGAAATGGTGATAGAAAATCCAGGTGTCATTTATTTATGGTGAGCACTTTATTAGAGAGCTGTAAATAGAAAACTCTCAAGTGGACATCTTTTAGAGGTTACCAAAGTTGTTCCATTTACATCAAGTAGTATACAGTAAAACCTGCTAAGTGGAACACCTCTGTAAGTAGAACACCTCACACATGGAACAGTGTTTTTAAAGTCCAATGGTCTATCTACTCAATGTTAATGAACCTCTGTAAGTGGAACACCTCCTGAGTAGAGCACTTTTTAGAGGTCCCAAAGGTGATTCACTTACATAGGTTCTACTGTACTGTATATTGTTATCTAACATGTGATTTTATATGTACTTTCAGGTGCTAAAGAAAAAATAGAAGACAACAACATTACATAATTAAACCAACAGAATTGCATTCATTAATGATGCTGGAAATACATTTGCTGAGGACTGTCAGATAGAGATACAAGGTAATATCATATTTTTGATATAATTGGCAAATGTTTGAATTGAAGTAAGTATTAGAAAAAATATTCATCATTCTACAGGAATGAAGTAATGCCATGTCAAGTATTGTTCATCGAGTCTTACTTAGGTCCAAAGCCTTCTCAAAATTGCAAGATAGAGACTCAAGTAAATCGAGCCTGTATTGACTGCCATGACGACTGAGAGGTATTCAAGATTATTTCTTGATTGAATTGCTCTGAGAAAAAATGTGACATAACATCTAATAAGGAAAACGTGTCTTCCCACATGTGTGCCCTTGATATAGATAAATTCCTGCCTTCACATAAAATTCCTCTGTCACATATATTCATTTGTAAAATTTAGTGAGAAAGAAACCAATCATCAAAAAGTAAAACATATAGGGCCGGAGAACACACAGTAAGTTATAAATACATAAGTAAAAGAAGTTAAGAACTTCATACCAATTTTGTAGAGAAAATGTAGGAAATAAATACAGACGGAGATTTTGATTTTCTCATTGAGGGAAAGGTTATTGGGGTTTATTACGTACGCAGGCTCTTATAGTGACTCAATATACAGTTGATTAGAATATTCTGTTTAAGATGCAGATTCAAGATTACCTGTAATTTTAGATTTTCAAGACATGCATGGTTACAATAACAGGTTTTCGTTACCTATAAATGGTATGATCAGGCCCGTAGCCCAGGGGGGGGGGGGTTCGCAGGGGTCGTACAGACTTCCCCCCTGGCCAAATATTCTTTCAAAATCATGCAGTTTTTCACCATTTTGAGCACCTCTCAAGTGATTTTAGCCATATTTGGGCCAAAATTGTCAAATGTGAACCCCCTGGAAATATTTGAAAACGAACCCCTCTTGGCAAATCCTGGCTACGGGCCTGATATTATCATGAGCTATACAGGTAGATAGCAGGTGCTGGTGGTAAAAATGTCCAGGGACATGGAAAAGCTTGACTGAATGATGAATTACCCTACATGTTAATCAACCGAAGTAAGAAGGTCTAATTAGGTATTAGCGCCATGTGTCCATAAGCCTGCTCAGACAGGATTTTTTACATTTTAGAGGATTAGATAAGAGGAACCCGTTGAAAAAATGTAGTATTTGTAGTGTAGATATCATAATCAAAGAAATGGAAGAATGAAATAGGCATGTTCTTATTGCAAATATTATAAAAATGTGTATTCTTTGAGAGAGAAATTAGGAGTGGAAATGGGCATGACCGAGACTTTTTTTATTTTTGGGTAATTAACTATTCTGGTCAACTTCCTACATTGGTTTCCTTTGATGAATTAATCATGTGTTGATAAAATGGATTTCACTTCATCATTTTCTGCTTCAGATCGAGCTAATGGGATAAATGGCTTGTATTATGCATGCATTTTTATCAAAAAATGTTGAAAAAACATGTTGAAAATAAAGTTAACAGTATCAGATCCAGCAAGCTGGCAAGTATAGTTGTTAGGAATATTTTGGGCTCATATCATTCCTTGTCGTGTCTGTTTTTTAAAATTCCCAAAGTGTATACTTTGTGGAATAATGAAAGTAATGGCATAATGCCAAATGAAGTAACACTTTTGAAAGTTAAAAAAGTTTTTTTCCAAGGCTGAAAATCAATATGGTAATTTCCTATATGGCCACTCATTTCAAAATGGCCACCATTTTTTGAAAAGAATGTATTCAAGTGCACTAAAGTTATCAGGAAGATTTGCATGACTGTTTCATTCTGATGCTTGATGTAGAAATAATGCTTTTGACATAGGGGCTTAGATATAGATTTCCATTTTGTACTGTTCATCATTCTAGTCTAATTGATTATTATATACACATGTTATTTCACGTATATAAGTTGATCTCATGATTCTTAACAGATTAGCAGCTATTCATATAAGTTTTATCTAGTTTTTTAAAGGGGTAGTCTATAGCGTTAAAAATGCGACGCAAAAAGGCATTTATATTTGGAGGTGTTCTGAGATAAGACAGGCGTTCAGATATACAAGTTTTACTGTCTGAACAGAGGTTCAGATCCCCATGACCTATTTGTTAGTGCAGTACTATTGACAATTATACACTTAACAATAGCTTTACCTGAGTCAGTTATATTGGTAAACATTTGAAGATAATCATCATAAATTATCCATAATGACTTGTACAAGTCATTGCCCTACATCCAGTTGTTAAAGGGAGCCAATTGGTTCAGTTCAGTTCAGTAATTTCCATCTCGAAATATATTTTCAAAGGATTTTATATGTATTATAAGTGAAGTTTAGAGTCTTATTTAAGCATTGTTTTTTGACCAACCAGCAATTAATTATTAATTTCAATATGGAATCAATAAATCAACCTAAGATGCTGGACTTAGTGAGTTACACCATACCTTCCAATATAGAATATCAAAGAGTACCAAATTGTCCTCTCAACCATAATGTCCCTTCAACCAACAGTGCCCCCTTTTGGATTACATAAGAATATAGCTCATAACCTCAATTTTGAAGAATTTAAAGAATGACGGAGACGTACAACAAAAACATGTATCATTTTCATCAGATATAAATGTTTTGAAGTTCGATTTTTCAACAGGTCTCATTAATGTCCAATAAATTAGAACATGTGTCTGATAGTTATATCCTCCTTAGAAATATTTATAGCTTACAATGTACTGTACATTGCCCTATTATAGTTCAGCTCATAAATGTCATGGTGTCAGATAGAATGAAACAGAGAGGAATGAGCAAGGAACAGGGGGAGGGGGAGTTCCCAAAGTTCAGAGTTAGTATTGAGTCACGTCACCTTCGTTCACTCGGCTCCCGGTGGTCCCAGTTGATGAACACAGTGAAGATCGAGCGTGCGAAGATTAAGTCATGTGGTGTCTACATCTCAGATGCAGTCTTGCTTCCAGGCTGGCTAACGGGTACCACATGAATTCCAGGGAAATCCATGCAAATGACTGTTCAAATTGAAATTTTTGCAATGCAAGAATTGACTCGTGCAAAGATCTGATTACGCTTTGGGCATGCTGGATAGATTACTTTGGGTCCATTTTGAATTTTTTGATAAAAATGTCATTTGTTTGACAAATGTTTCATCTTATACATGTATATAGGTTACTGGTAGCTTACAAACGGTAAAATCCAGTTTGGAGTCATCTCTTGGAATGAAGAAAATTCAGCCATTTAGTCTGAACAATTTCAACTTAATCATAGTTTGTGGGATATTTGGGATTGTTTGCCCTTCCGACTTGGTTTTGGTTTTATATTCTTTTTTTGTTGTGTTTTGTAAAACTCTTTGATGTCTCTCTCCTTTTGGAACTTTTGTTTAGTATTTACATATTTTTTGTAAAGAAAATGCTAGAAAATAAGTAAGTTCAGACATAAAGTGAGAAAAAATAAATATCAATTACTTACATTCGTAACAGTGTCATCTGAAGCTTCGATATGTCTCATATTGATAAATCAATAACCCCAATTGTGGAAAAGATATCTTTAAATTTGAAGGTCATATAGTTTATTTATAAGGAACCTGAAAAGGAAAAAAACAAGTTTTATAATAGTTTGTTTGAACTATTTTATTGTTTTTGGGGCAAGTGACGTCTTTTATCTGGTTGATATACTCCATAATTGTTTTTAGACAAAATAAAAAAACAAAAACAAATAAGTGACCAATGTTACCAAGCAAAACACACCATTATGATTAAATGTAATTAAAATGTACTTAAATACATCAGTCTCAATTTAAAATACTTAGAAAATCTCAAGTATTTACGGTCAATAAATAGTTGTGGTTTATATATGGCTACTCCTTCTCTTGTAAAAAATCATGATGTTCATGTTCTAGAATGTGGAAAATACAGTGGAAAAGGGCGCAATTAGCAAGGAATGAATGTCGTATTTGTAGTCTATGGTCTAAATTGTTGACAAATGTCTGAAATTGAACAGTTAATTCAAATTTTAGGGTAAAAACTGATGACTTGTGATTGAGGAAAAAATTGGTATTGAAAGAGAAAGTTTATCATTTCACACAATAAATGTCAGTTTAATCAATATTGGAAAAAATGAACAATTAATTTGGCATTTCTTTAAATTTCTTATGCTGGAACTTTGAAAATACCATTACAAATAGGGTCAAACAATGACACCAATAGAAACAATGATACCAATAAAACAATAAAAAGGAGGTGTCTTGTTTTTGTTCACCTGTATGGACCACATAAATGTTGATTGCTAGGCAATTATAATTATAGAACTGTATTTAACCTAAATGACCTGACAGTTTTATTGTTCCGAACTGTAATGTATTGAAATGTACTACCTGGATGTTTTTGTTTCAACACATGTTTAATTACATGAACTATTGTTATGAACCCTTGTTAGAATACTCATCTTAGCATCTCAAATGCATATTTGATTCCGAAGTCAATTTATCTTATTTGTTTTTATTTATGTTTGTTTAAACAATTTGAAAATTGACACCTTTCTAAATTTCTTGTCAGGTGTATTCAATATATATAAAATTTGTAATTAATGATAAGTTGATATCTGAATCTTCACAAGGACAGACATTGAGCTCTGGCAAAAAGTTTAAATAGATGCCATGTTTTTACAGCATTTCTCTCTAATATTTTATGAACAGCCAGATTTTTATACATTTCTCAACAAGTGATTGCCTATTCCTTGAATTTCTTCCATTGATTCCTTTCTAATTCCTCTCTATCTCTCATATTTCACATTCTAAATCATAAAAATCCAAATATTTTTTCATGGTTTCCTATATGAGGTGAGATACAACTACCTCCTGTGAATATAAAGTCAAAACGACCTCTCAAACGTAAAAATTTCCAAATAATTACCACGAATAGATTGCTATAGGCAAAGAATGCAGACATACAAATCAATCTAATTCTTGAGATTACTAAAATTAATTGAGACACATTATCGTAATAACAAAAAAATATGACGTAGCTTGCAAAGTGAAAATCTTAAGAAGGGCG